TTACTTGGAACAGCTGCAGATGAATGGCATATCACTCGTTTTTGTGGATATTGATGGATACGTTCCTCGAACAAAGTAATAGCCTGACATTGTTCCTATAAATTTAATCTGTTTTAATTTTAATATTTGCATTTTGTTATTATTCATTCGTTGTTTTCGCCGTGAAGTATAATTAGACATACACTAGGGCGTGTGTGCGAATTATGATTCACATTGGCAAACTATAAAATGTCTAGATATTACAGTCCTGTTATAAATGCACTATAAGTATCAGCAGATCGTCTGCTTTTTATTTAGTTTCAAAATGCATACAAGTATGATATGAACTAATTAGGATTATAAGACCAAATATAAAGACGTACATTGATTAGTATCTACATACTGGTGAGTGGACGTTAACCACGTGAATGTAGCAAGAAATTTATCACGCAGTATTGTCACTTCTCCCCCCCACCTCGCTTCCATGGAAGAAATCGTTATGTTATAAGTTGTGTCATGCAAAATCCTTTTGGTTATGATTCAAATACATATTTAACTACGAGTAGAAAGTAGTTTGGATTTTCTAACTTGATGAAAAGAATCCATAATCTCACTAATTCTAACAGACTTTAGCCCGTCACTTCACGATTTTCTAAAATGGCGGCGCCCTGTCGAGAACATCCGCCAGTCTGAGTATAAATGCTATTTAGGTTTGTTTTCACCGAGTTACAAAATCAAAACTACTTTCTACTGGTAGTAAAATATGTATTTGATTGATGGCCAATAGGATTTTGCATGACATAGCTTATAACATAACAATTTCTCTCATGGAAGCGAGGTGGGTGTCAATATAATACTACTTACAGTATTATTGTTACTTCGACCACAATCTCGCTTCTGAGGCAGAAATCGTTATGTTACAAGTTGTGTCATGGAAAATCTTTATGGTCATCAATCATATACATATTTTCTACGACTAGTAAGTAGTTTTGATTCTTTAACTTCCGTGAAGCGATCTGAACACATGTAAGATATCGTTTCGGGCTTCCACAACGCTCGCTTCGCACTCACAAACATAACCCATTTTACACGAACTGCGGGGTCCTGTGGAAATCTGTGCATGGCGACACCATCGCCCGACCTCTAGGAGTAATTGCAACGACAATGCAACGATTCGGCATGTCTTCGTTGATGTCGAGAAATCATCAAAATGACGAGCTTGCTACACACATTCTATACAACTAACTGAAAATCCTTCCTCATATGACATCACTGCAGTGCTCTGGCGACAGAGTTACGTAACCTGTCTGTGGTTTCGTTGGCGCGGGCGAGAGTGAAGCAGGCAACTTTTAATCGCTTGGTACTAATTAACCACAAGTCTTAATGGGAGGTAGGGCTCACTGGTCAGTGTTGGACACCAGCCATTTTGTCATTCTTCTTCAATTTGTTTACATCTTGTTTCAGAGCACTCTGTGCATGCTGCCTGACCAAGCAAGACTCTGTTGCTGATGTATGCAGTCACAGCTGCAGATGACCATGAGTTGAACGATGGATCCTAGTCCATCCATGGTTGTAAGTCCAACAAGATATCCAAGTACAACCAGAGATCCAAGTCAAACCATGGATCTAGGTCCAATCAGGGATCCAAGTCCAACCATCGATCCAAGTCAAACCATGATCTAGGTCCAATCAGGGATCCAAGTCCAACCAGGGATCCAAGTCAAACCATGGATCTAGGTCCAATCAGGGATCCAAGTCCAACCAGGGATCCAAGTCAAACCATGGATCTAGGTCCCATCAGGGATCCAAGTCCAACCAGGGATCCATGTCAAACCATGGATCTAGCTCCAATCAGGGATCCAAGTCCAACCAGGGATCCAAGTCAAACCATGATCTAGCTCCAATCAGGGATCCAAGTACAACCAGGGATCCAAGTCAAACCATGGATCTAGCTCCAACCAGGGATCCAAGCCAAACCATGGATCTAGGTCCAATCAGGGATCTAGGTCCAACCAGGGATCCAAGTCAAACCATGGATCTAGGTCCAAGCAAGGATCCAAGTACAACCAGGGATCCAAGTCAAACCATGGATCTAGGTCCAATCAGGGATCCAAGTCCAACCAGTGATGTTAGTCCAACCAGAGATCCAGGTCCAACCAGGGATCCAAGTCTGACCATGGATGTTAGTCCAGCCAGGGATGTTCTGGACTTTGAATGACATTGCTGTGTTCTGTATTTCATGCATTTATGCAATAAAACAGATAATGTACACCATTAGACATACCAGTACATAAGACTGGACCAACTAACCAGCAATATAACAGACTTACAACCGGTACTTATTGTACATAACACAGTGATAGAATGTCACCAAAACCTCACGTTTCTTACCTAATGTAGACACCTGGTGCTGTGATTATTATCCATAACACAACGATGCAATATCACCAAAACCTCATCTTTCTTAAATAATGTAGACACCTGGTGCTGTGTGATTATTGTACATAACACAACGATGCAATGTCACCAAAACCTCACGTTTCTTACCTAATGTAGACACCTGGTGCTGTGTGATTATTGTACATAACACAACGATGCAATATCACCAAAACCTCATCTTTCTTAAATAATGTAGACACCTGGTGCTGTGTGATTATTGTACATAACACAACGATGCAATGTCACCAAAACCTCATCTTTCTTAAATAATGTAGACACCTGGTGCTGTGTGATTATTGTACATAACACAACGATGCAATATCACCAAAACCTCATCTTTCTTAAATAATGTAGACACCTGGTGCTGTGTGATTATTGTACATAACACAACGATGCAATATCACCAAAACCTCATCTTTCTTAAATAATGTAGACACCTGGTGCTGTGTGATTATTGTCCATAACACAACGATGCAATGTCACCAAAACCTCACGTTTCTTACCTAATGTAGACAACTGGTGCTGTGTGATTATTGTACATAACACAACAATACAATATCACCAAAACCTCATCTTTCTTAAATAATGTAGACACCTGGTGCTGAGTGATTATTGTACATAACACAACGATGCAATGTCACCAAAACCTCACGTTTCTTACCTAATGTAGACAACTGGTGCTGTGTGATTATTGTACATAACACAACAATACAATATCACCAAAACCTCATCTTTCTTAAATAATGTAGACACCTGGTGCTGTGTGAGTATTGTACATAACACAACTTTAAGCGATGCAATGTCACCAAAACCTCACGTTTCTTACCTAATGTAGACACCTGGTGCTGTGTGATTATTGTACATAACACAACAATACAATATCACCAAAACCTCATCTTTCTTAAATAATGTAGACACCTGGTGCTGTGTGATTATTGTACATAACACAACGATGCAATGTCACCTAAACCTCACGTTTCTTACCTAATGTAGACAACTGGTGCTGTGTGATTATTGTACATAACACAACGATGCAATGTCACCAAAACCTCACGTTTCTTACCTAATGTAGACACCTGGTGCTGTGTGATTATTGTACATAACACAACGATGCAATGTCACCAAAACCTCACGTTTCTTACCTAATGCAGACACCTGGTGCTGAGTGATTATTGTACATAACACAACGATGCACAACGTTGGTCAGTTTGGAGGTGGGTGTAGGGAGAACAGAATGATACTTGGTGGGGGATACTGATGGCGGCTGGTCAGTTGGGAGGTGGGGTGTGGGTAGTACAGTATGATACTTGGTGGGGTGTTTTGATGGGGATTGGTCGCTTCGGGGGTGGAGTTGGGGAGAGCAGAATGATACTTGGTGGGGGATACTAATGGGGGCTGGTCAGTTTGGAGGTGGGGTGTTGGGCAAGCAGAATGATACTAGGTGGGGGATTCTGATGGCTGATGGACAGTTTTGAGGTGGGGTGTGGGGTGAACAGAATGATACTTGGTGGGGAATTCTGATGGTGGTTGGTCTGATTGGAGGTTGGGTGTAGGGAGAGCAGAAAGATACTGGGTGGGAGGTTCTGATAGGGGTTGGTAAGGTTGGAGGTGGGGTGTGGTGAAAGCAGAATGATACTGATTGGGGGTTCTGATGGGGGTCGGTCAGATTGGAGGTGGGGTGTGTGGAGAACAGAATGATACTGTGTGGGGGTTCGGGTGGTGGTTGGTCAGATTGGAGGTGGGGTGTGGGGAGAGCTGAATGATACTGGGTGGGGAATACTGATGGGGACTAGGCAGTTTGGAGGTGGGGTGTGGGTAGTGCAGTAGGATACTTGGTGGGGTGTTTTGATGGGGATTGGTCAGTTCGGGGGTGGAATTAGGGAGAGCAGAATGATACTTGGTGGCGGATACTGATTGGGTTTGGTAAGGTTGGAGGTGGGGTGTGGGAGAACAGAATGATACTGGGTGGGGGGTTCTGACACCAGATTGGAGGTGGGGTGTGGGGAGAACAGAATGATACTGGGTGGGGGTTCTGATGGTTGGTTGGTCAGATTGGAGGTTGGGTGTGGGTAGAACAGAATGACACCGGGTGGGCGGTTCTGATAGGGGTTGGTCATTTCTGGAGTGGAGTGTGGGGAGAGCAGAATGATACTGGGTGGGGATTGTGATGGTGGTTGGTAGGTTTGGAGGTGGGGTGTGGGGCAAGCAGAATGATACTGGGTGGGGGGTTCTGATGGCTGATGGTCAGTTTGGAGGTGGGGTGTGGGGTGAACAGAATGATACTTGGTATGGAATTCCGATGGGGTTTGGGAGTGGAGCAGAACGATACCGGGTGAAGCAGGGGGTTCTGGTGGAGGTTGAGATGCAGATTGGAGGTTGGGTGTGGAGACAGCAGAAAAGAACTAGGTGGGAGAGTTCTGATGAGGTGGTTGGTCAGATTGGAGGTGGGGTGTTGGGGAGAACAGAACGATACAGTGGGGGTTCTGGTAGGGGTTGGTCTCTTTTGGAGGTGGGGACAACGGAGAACAGAACGACACTGGGTGGGAGGGTTTCTGATACGGATGTGGAGAACAGAATGATACTTAGTGGGGGTTCTGATAGGGGTTGTAGTCCAATTTGGAAGTGGGATGGAATGAACGACCGTGTGGGAGCTCTGATAGGGGGTTGAACGTAAGTTTGGAGGTGTGGTGTGGTGACGAGAGAATGATACTGATTAGGGGTTCTGATGGTGGTTGGTCACAGAGGTGGGGTGTTGGGGCAAGCAGAACGATACTGGGTGGGGGGTTCTGATGGCTGATGGTCAGTGGAGGTGTGTGGGGGGTGGGGGAGTGAACAGAATGACACTTGGTATGGAGATTCCGACAGTTTGGGAGTGGAGGTGTGGGAGAGCAGAAAGACTGGGTGGGGGTTGGATGGTTGAGTCCCAGTTGGAGGTTGGGGTGTGGGGAAACAGAAAAGATACTAGGTGGGAGGTTCTGATGAGGTGAGTTTGGAACGAACGACACCGGAGAACAGAACAGTGGGGGTTCTGGTAGGGTTGGTCTTTTGGAGGTGGGGTGTTGGGAGAACAGAATGATGACACCGGATACTGATGAGGTTGGTCCAGTTAGGATGTGAGGAGAACAGAACGACACCTGATAGGGGTTGGTCAACGGAGGTGGGATGTGGGGAGAACAGAAATGACACCTGATAGGGTTGAAGGTAACCCGGAGGAATGACTGATTGGACGGTTCTGGAGGGGTTGGTCCAGGTGGAGACTGGGGATGTTGGGAAATGATGCTGGACACCGGTTCCTGATGGCTGACGGTCCGTTTTGAGGTGAGCAGAATGACACTGGGTGGGGAACAGTGGTGGTTGAGTCTGATTGGAGGTTGGGTGTAGGGAGAGCAGAAAGATACTGGGTGGGAGGTTCTGATGGTGGTTGGTCAGGACGGAGGTGGGGTGGGGAGAACAGAATGATACTGCTGACAGGGGGGTTCTGGTGTGGTTGGTCAGGGTGGAGGGTGGGGGTGTGGGGAGAGCAGAATGATACTGGGTGGGGGATTCTGATGGTGGTTGTTCAGGGTGGAGGTGGAGGTGGGGAGAACAGAATGACAAGGTGGGGGGTTCTGATAGGGGTTGGGCTTTTGCAGGGGGGTGTGGAGAACAGAATGATTCTGTGATAGAGGGGTTCTGATAGGGTTGAGGTCAGTTTGGAGGTGGGTGTAGGGAGAGCAGAATGATACTTCGTGTGGGATACTGATTGGGGCTGGTCAGTTTGGAGGTTGGGTGTGGAAGCGAACAAAATGGTACTGGGTGGGGGTTTCTGATGGGGGTGAGGGTCAATGAGGAGGGTGGAGTGTAGGAGAACAGAATGATACTTGGTGGGAGAATACTGATGGGGGCTGTCAGTTTGGAGGTGGGTGTGGGGCAAGCAGAATGATAGAGGGGGGGCGGTTCTGATGGCTGATGGTCAGTTTGGAGGGGAGGGTGGAACAGAATGATACTTGGTATGGAATTCCGATGGGGGTTGGGCAGTTTGGGAGTGGAGTGTGGAGTGAGCAGAATGATACTGGGTGGGGGTTTCTGATGGTGGTTGGTCTGATTGGAGGTTGGGTGTGGGGAGAGCAGAAAGATACTGGGTGGGAGGTTCTGATGGTGGTTGGTCAGATTGGAGGTGGGGTGTGGGGAGAACAGAATGATACCGAGTGGGGGGTTCTGGTAGGGGTTGGTCTTTTTGGAGGTGGGGTGTTGGGAGAACAGAATGATACTGGGTGGGGGATACTGATAGGGGTTGGTCAGTTCGGATGTGGGGAGAACAGAATGATACTTGGTGGGGGTTCTGATAGGGGTTGGTCAATTTGGAGGTGGGATGTGGGGAGAACAGAATGATACTGTGTGGGGGGTTCTGATAGGGGTTGGTAAGTTTGGAGGTGGGGTGTGGTGAAAGCAGAATGATACTGATTGGGGGTTCTGATGGGGGTTGGTCAGATTGGAGGTGGGGTGTTTGGCAAGCAGAATGATACTGGGTGGGGGGTTCTGATGGTGGATGGTCAGTTTTGAGGTGGGGTGTGGGGTGAGCAGGATGATACTGGGTGGGGAATTCTGATGGTGGTTGGTCTGATTGGAGGTTGGGTGTAGGGAGAGCAGAAAGATACTGGGTGGGAGGTTCTGATGGTGGTGGGTCAGACTGGAGGTGGGGTGTTGGGAGAACAGAATGACACGAGTGGGGTTCTGGTAGGGGTTGGTCTTTTGGAGGTGTGTTGGGGAGAACAGAATGATACTGGGTGGTGGATTCCTGATAGGGGTTGAGTCAATGGAGGTGGGGTGGCCGGGGGAAGCAGAATGATAATGGGTGGGGGTTCTGATGGTGGTTGAGGTCAGATTGGGGGTGGGGTGTGTGGAGAGCAGAATGATACTGGTTGGGGGTTCTGATCGGGGTTGGTCAAGGTGGAGTTGGGATGGGAGAGCAGAATGATACACAGTTTGGGGGTTTCTGGATAGTGGTTGAGTCCGTTCCAGGTGTGGGGTGTGGGGAGAACAGAATGATACTTGGTATGGGATACTGATTGGGGTTTTGTCAGTTTGTTGGTGTGGTGTGTGGGGAGCAGAATGATACTGGGTGTAGGTCTGATAGGTTGTTGGTCAGTTGGAGGTGGGGTGTTGGGAGAGCAGAATGATACTTGGTGTCGGATACTGATAGGGGTTGGTCAGTTTGGAGGTGGGAGGTGGGGCGAACAGAATGATACTTGGTGGCGGGTTCTGATGGGGTTGTTCAGTTTGTTGGTGTGGTGTGTGGAGAGCAGAATGATACTTGGTGGAGGGTAATGATGGGGGTTGGTCAGTTTGGATAGTGGGTGTGGGAGGAATGATACTGGGTGGGGGGTTCTGGTGGGGGCTGGCCAGTTTGGAGGTAGGGTGTTGGGAGAGCAGAATGATACTTGGTTGGGGTTGGTCAGTTTGAAGGTGGGGTGTTTGGAGAACACAATGATACTGTGTGGGGGGTTCTGATAGGGGTTGGTCATTTTGGAGGTGGGGTGTTGGGAGAGCAGAATGATCCTGAGTGGAGGGTCCTGAGCGTGGTTGGTCATTTTGGAGGTGGTGTGGGGTGAAAGCAGAATGATACTTGGTTGGGGGTTCTGATGGGGGATAGTCAGTTTGGAGGTGGGGTGTGGGGCGAACAGATTGATACTGGGTGGGGGGTTCTGGTGGGGTCTGATCAGTTTGGATGTGAGTGTGGGGAGAGCAGAATACTAATGGGTTAGGGCCTGGTAAGGGTTGGGCAGTTTGGAGGTGGGGTGTTGGGAGAGCGGAGTGATACTAGGTTGGTAGTGCTGATGGGGGTTAGTATTTTTGGAGGTGGGGTGTGGTTCGAGCTGAATGATACTGTGTGGAGGGTAGTTATGGTGATTAGTCAGTTTGTAGGTGGGCTGTAGGGAGAGCAGAATGATACTGGTTTGATGGGTTCTGATGGGGGTTGATCAGATTTGGGGGTCTGAGTGTTTGGTGAACAGAATGATACTGGGTGTGGGGTTCTGGTGGGTGATGGTCTGTTCGGGTTTGGGGAGAGCAGAATAATACTTGGTAGGGGATACTGATTGGGGATGGTCAGTTTGTTGGTGTGGTGTGTTGAGAGCAGAATGATACTGGGTGGAGGTCTGATGGGTTGTTGGTCAGTTTGGAGGTGGGGTGTAGGGAGAGCAGAATGATACTTGGTGGGGGATACTGATTGGGGATGGTCAGTTTGTTGGTGTGGTGTGTGGAGAGCAGAATGATACTGGGTGGAGGTCTGATGGGGTTGGTCAGTTTGGATTTTGGGTGTGGGGAGAATGATACTGGATGTGGGGTTTTGGTGGGTGATGGTCTGTTCGGGTGTGGGGAGAGCAGAATGATACTTGGTAGGGCATACTGAATGGGGGATGATCAGTTTGTTGGTGTGGTGTGTGGAGAGCAGAATGATGCTGGGTGGAGGTCTGATGGGTTGTTGGTCAGTTTGGAGGTGGGGTGTAGGGAGAGCAGAATGATACTTGGTGGGGGATACTGATTGGGGATGGTCAGTTTTGAGGTGGGGTGTGGGGAGAGTAGAATGATACTTGGTGTGGGATACTGATTGGGGATGGTCAGTTTGGAGGTGGGGTGTGGGGAGGGCAGAATGATACTTGGTGTGGGATACTGATTGGGGATGGTCAGTTTGGAGGTGTGGTGTGTGGAGAACAGAATGATACTGGTTTGATCAGTTTTGGGGGTTGACTGTTTGGCGAGCAGAATGAAAGCTTGAGGGTTGGGGGTTCTGATAGCTGATGGTTGGATTTGGAGGTGGTGTGTGGGGCTAGAACAGAATGATACTGTATGGGGGTTCTGATGGGGGTTGGTGAGTTTGGGGGTGGGGGTGAGTGTGGGGAGAACAGAATGATACTGGGTGGGGGGTGCTGATGGGGGTTTGTCCGTTTTGGAGGTGGGGTGTGGGGCGAGCAGAATGAAACTGGTTGGGTGATACTGATGGGGGTTGGTCATTTTGAGGTGGTGTGTGGGGAGAGCAGAATGATACTCATGTTTGTTTGATGGCCATTCTGGAAGTTGGTGACTCAAAAATGAAAGATACAACTTTATCGATGACAACTTCTTATTTATTGCATAGAGCGACGTTTTGATGTAGATTCTTACATCCTTATCAAGCTAAAAGTGAATACAACCAGATGTAGAGGAGTATATATACACAGTATGTTTTGACAACAGCAGATTTATACTTGGTATCATGCAGAATGATACTTGTTGGGGGATACTGATGGGGGTTGGTCAGTTTGGAGGTGGGGTGTGAGAGGTCCAGAATGAAACTGGGTGGGGGATACTGATGGGGGTTGGTCAGTTTGGATTACGCACATTCTGCTTTGGGATCTTTTTTCACTTTGCCAAAAACCGAATGGCACCATTCATACCGAGTTAGTAGCACTTTACGTTTGTCACCCAATGTAGATGAAGATACTGTTCTAGTTTTTAGTCTGATGTTGAAAATGTAAGGAAGTCAGCTGACTTAAATAATAATCAATGTAGAATACCATCATAGAATGATTTTTGGAATAAAATATATTGAAATTCTGAGTTATATCTTGCTTGTATTGTTCAATACTTATATCTCATCATATTCAGATATGACAAAGTTGCATCGCTTGATCATACCAGGATCTGCTGATGGACGTGGAACCAGAATCACATCATGATTATTTTGTCATTCACACCATAGATTATTGTTCAATACATCTGTTGTAGGGTTTACACATGCCTAGAGTTGAATCCCTTGATCATACCAGGATCTGCTGATGGACGTGGAACCAGAATCACATCATGATAATTTTGTCATTCACATCATAGATTGTTCAATACATCTATTGTAGGGTTTACACATGCCTAGAGTTGCATCCCTTGATCATACCAGGATTTGCTGATGGATGTGGAACCAGAATCACATCATGCTTTATTTTGTCATTCACACCATAGATTGTTCAATACATACATCTCCTATTTTTGGGTTTGCACATACCTAGAATTGCGTACCTTGATCATACCAGGATCTGCTGATGGACGTGGAACCAGAATCACATCATGATAATTTTGTCATTCACATCATAGATTGTTCAATACATCTATTGTAGGGTTTACACATGCCTAGAGTTGCATCCCTTGATCATACCAGGATTTGCTGATGGATGTGGAACCAGAATCACATCATGCTTTATTTTGTCATTCACATCATAGATTGTTCAATACATACATGACCGCCTCCGTGGTGTAGTGGTTAGAGGGTCCGCCCAGAGAGCCTAGAGTTGCATTCCTTGTTCATACCAGGATCTGCTGATGGATGTGGAGCCACAATCATATCAATGTCATTCACATCATACATTGTTCAATACATAATCTCATCTGGTAGGGTTTTCACATGCCTAGAGTTGCATCCCTTGGTCATGTCAGGAAATGCTGCTGGTGATGGGGACAGGAATGGCGGTGATTATGATCATTAGTTTGTCAGTCATGCTCATCATACCACCAACTATACAAACATCTAGAACCTCCAACCTTCAGGGTTTCCTTCCATTAAACTGACACTGTGAAGTACAAGGTAGCACTAAACCCAACTCACTCACTCACCCATTCCCATTAAACTGACACTATGAAGTACAAGGTAGCACTAAACCCAACTCACTCACTCACTCATTCCCATTGAATTGGCACTATGAAGTACAAGGTAGCACTAAACCCAACTCACTCACTCATTCCCATTGAATTGACACTATGAAGTACAAGGTAGCACTAAACCCAACTAACTCACTCACTCATTCGCCCATTCCCATTAAACTGACACTATGAGCTACAAGGTGCCACTAAACCCAACTCACTCACTCACTCATTTGCTCATTCCCATTAAACTGACACTATGAAGTACAAGGTAGCACTAGCCCAACTAACTCACTCACTCATTCATTCGCCCATTCCCATTAAACTGACACTATGACGTACAAGGTAGCACTAAACCCAACTCACTCACTCACTCACTCATTCGCTCATTCCCATTAAATTGACACTATGAAGTACAAGGTAGCACTAAACCCAACTCACTCACTCACTCACTCATTCGCTCATTCCCATTAAACTGACACTATGCAGTACAAGGTAGCACTAAATCCAACTCACTCACTCACTCACTCATTCGCTCATTCCCATTAAACTGACACTATGAAGTACAAGGTAGCACTAAACCCAACTAACTCACTCACTCATTCGCTCATTCCCATTAAACTGACACTATGAAGTACAAGGTAGCACTAAACCCAACTAACTCACTCACTCATTCGCTCATTCCCATTAAACTGACACTATGAGCTACAAGGTGGCACTAAACCCAACTCACTCACTCACTCATTCGCTCATTCCCATTAAACTGACACTATGAAGTACAAGGTAGCACTAAACCCAACTAACTCACTCACTCATTCGCTCATTCCCATTAAACTGACACTATGAGCTACAAGGTGGCACTAAACAACTTACTCACATTAACCTGACACTGTGAAGTACAAGGTGGCACTAAACCCAACTCACTCACTCATGAATAAGGTGAGAGGTGGATGTGAAATATGCAGGATAAGGTAAAGGTGGGCTGTGGCCCCTAAAATAAACTTCTAATTTTGAGAAACATACTAGCTGTGTGCCTACACAAGTCTTGAAATTGAATGTTTAGCACAGAGCAGTGAGCCGTACCAGTCGCAAAATGACAGAAATATGCTGGGTAACTTTAAGATAGCTCTCAGCCGTTTACGTCTGTATGTGGAGATAAGTATAGAAGAGTATGTCATTATCTTTCCAATAACTTAAAATTATTCATTACACATGTACGCCAGATCCGAACTGTCATCATCTAATACACTGTATGAATGAATGATATATGTGTTTACACAGGTAATTCAGACACCTGTAATCTACTCAGGACGTTAGAGTGAGTGAGTGAGTTTAGTTTTACGCCGCTTTAGCAATATTCCAGCAATATCACGGTGGGGGGCACCAGAAATGGTCTTCACACATTGTATCCATGTTGGGAGTCGAACCCGGGCCTTCGGTGTGACGAACGAACACTTTAACCATTTTGCTACCCGACCGCCCCTTAGGACATTAGAATATTATGTGGAATATTAAGTCAAATGTAGATGAAACCAACTCTATAACAATTGTGAAAGGAGAGAAGACAGCCACACTCGAGAAAAGAAGTAAAAGTAGAACATTTGGAAAATGAAAAAGACATTTTGACCCATGTAATATACTTTTGTCTCTTTGCAATTTATTTGGCGTTAGTATTCACTTTATGACCTATTAAATAAAATATAATACACGAAAATAAAAGAACACTGAGCACACGTAGTGGTTCAAAGCAGCCATCAAAGACCAGAGCCCTTTGTTGTTTCAACTCATAAAACGTACATGATTTAAAAATATGTGATATGCATAAATTAAGATAGCCCTGTCCATTCATACATTTGTCCTGAAATTTTAATTAATTTTTACACCAGAACAGCCAGCCGTGTGAATATCCAGAATGGCAAAATAGATATAACGATAAAAGTGTTTTCTGACTTTAAAATACAAGCGTTGTCGCTTTGAAATATTTTCATTTGTATCAGCATTTACTTTGAAAAATGCAAATACGAACAGTATATGCATATACGCTCGCTTTGCACAAGCTGAGTCAGAAGTACAAAACTCCCAGATACATCTGACCAGTGTTAACGAGAAATCTGATTTCTGTGTCGACACGTGTCAGCGATTGTTTACAAACATACACCACGTGCTTTTCTATTTTTAGCCTTTCCCGCCGCGAGACTCTATTTATAAAAAACCGGATGTTGTGGTTTGCCGTGCTGTGTTTTGATGTTGACACGTGAGCTGTTTCTTTTCTTGTACATTGCAAAGGTATATACATCTATGACTTTGTTTGTACCGTATACTTTTATGTAAACGATAATGTTTTAACTGAAGACATGTTTTACACACTCACTCTTTAGCACCGGAACAAATCGATTACATACAACACAGTTCTGCGTTTTGAAAGTAATTGATATGTATTCATTTCAGCATGGTTTGATTAAAGAAGACCAATTAGGGTAAAGTTTTAGTTTATTATGTCTTAAAGCACTATGAGGCTTGCATAATCACTGGATATATATACCATCGCTTGTTTGTTACTTTTTTCAGTTTCCCTTTTTATTCTTTTTTTTCCCTCAAAATTTAAGCTTGTTCTGATCCTTTAAAGGGCCACTGATCCAGAGCGATGAATGTTTCCAGCCAACAGTCTAATTACGAAACCTAGCTGCAAACTGGTCAGCCCCTGCTCCCTCGACCGTGACGGACGCGGGGACTGGGCTACTGTCCACACTGGCAGAATTTCTTCAACCTAATCAGTGGGACATTAGGAGGGGTGGATGCCAATTTGAAAGTATCCCTACAGTTCTGATTGTAATAAAGTATCCCAGCAGTGTAGGCTTTTTCAGATTTTCAAATGTTTGGATGGTATAGTGACTGATCCAATTGATCCTATTTCTGTGTTTTTTACCTCGATATTTAATGATGTGAAAATATGATGTCTATCATTTACGTATGCTATGATGTCAGAAACACACATTTGATATATTTGAATCCATAAACTAAACAACCCCACTTTGCCATTGATAAAAAAATCTGAAATTTTACTTAGGTACATAGGTATATACAGTTTTTAACTAAGTACACAGCAAATGCTTATATATGTTTCTTATGTAACAATGAAGTTTGATCCGTTCGTATCCTCAAAACAGTGTTGGCCCATAATTTTTTTGTTCAGACAATCAAACTTGAATGCAATACAGTGATTACTACTCTCTTGCTGTAACCCTTGTTTGGTGGTAAACCTACACATGTTATTTGTCATCATTGACTTATTGGTCAGTTAATGAATTTATAACAGATATAATTAGTGATTACCCCACAAAGGT